GAATTTCAATGAAATATTTGCCTTATAATCTTCATTTTCATGTTTCGAATTACATGAGCGTGATAAATAAAACTAGTCCATATCAAAACGGATGTCCAGAATAAGCGGAAGCTCTTTTTCGTAGGCATAGAATACTATCGTTGTCTACAACGCCATATTACAAATGATATATGGAAGAATGCTATCATGAACAAAAATTCCGCTCCAGAAATAAAAATCGTAGCTCACGCGTAATGAAGTCAGCCAAATCAATATCATCTAAATCACCAGCCAGTTGAGCTGCAAGTGGGTTGGCAGCGTGTAGCCCTGGTAATCTAGTGGGTATTCGATGAAGAAGACGCTGCTCTATGCAAAGCCTAAGTGGCAGATGTAGACCTTGTACAGCACGGGCGGCGCGCAGGCGTTCTCCTAGAGCGGCTTGTTGATGTAGACCAGAAGAAAGTAATCCAGCCACTGGGTGCGGGTATGTTTGGCACGGAGCGTCCCTGGGTGCGGAAAAAGCAGACTTTTGAAGAAATGCAGCGGCAGAAGTTTCACCACAAGAAAATTTCGAGCCATTCAGACTGTAAAAAAAAGAAATTGGAATATATATGATAAAATAAATCATTAGCAACAATACGCAAATGGAAGAGTCAACAAATCTTGAATTTGATTGCTATTTTGGCCTCATATTATTCACGAACCCCTAATTCCTTAAAATTTCCCTATTTAAAACACATAATAAGAATAATTTTGATCGAAACTGAAGTCTGGCCTAAATGATAATACCTTTTATAAGCCAAGGTTAAGTCATGATTAAATAGCATCATGAGGCCAACTTATATCGTTGTGGGAAAATTCATCATCTGTTGTCACCTTATATGACCAAGGGTGATCATAGTTCTTATTAGCAGGAGTATCAAAAATAGTAAGATGTAAACACTCTTAACTCCCCAAAGTTATAGATAAAAAGCTGGATCCTCAAGGGATACCCGCCAGTTTCGAATGTCTCCATCTAAAAAACCATATAAGAAAGTTCATAAAAACCTACTTATCAAGACAAATGCATGAAAATTGGCCAAAGCAGATAGTATTGGAGTCTATTGTATTGTTCTAAGATCTAATCTAAAAAATGCTGTCGGGATAAGCATCGATTTGATGTCAAACGTTTCCATGAGTTTCCGTTTCCGTTTATTCAATAACGAACAACGAAGACTATTAAATCGACATTTTAAGGAAAGATGACCTATCTATATGCATTAAACTTTGATAAAACAATAAATTCAACATCGCCGTGAATCCTAAAGTTCATTCTACTTTTAGGGAAGGAAACATCTTCAAGCTTAAATAGTTTTTGCCAGCACAATCAACGACATTTGAACCCAGTGGCCGGGAGACTATATAACTTTGTCAACAAAAAATAGGGACCAAGTCACCTTGGGAGAGGAGTACTACGATCGTTGAAGGATATTGGTCAATGGAATTGGTTTTTTCTTACATTTAGACTAATGTGAGCTTAGTGTTAAGCAGGCTCTCCTCGTTAATTTACCAGTTAAACGATATGATGCTGAAAGAAGACACGTGTATAACTATAGAGGACGAAGAGAAGGGAAGATCTTTCAAATAGGCCACGTAAGAAAATCCGGGTAACAGAAACGAAATAAAACTGGAATTAGTCAAAGAGATCCAGGGCCAAACCCACTTAACAATCGCATCGCGTGTCATCAGGATCTCAATCAGCCTCATCATATGAGTTCAGGCGTGAATGCTTAATCTGACTACCTAGAGGAGATCATGGCAATGGATGGGATACAATTGGCTGATCGAAATATTATTTGAATTAAACAACAAGCGGAGCAGATACGGACAAAATGGAGGTGTCAATTGTTGAACCAAAGTCGAAAACAGACTTACCCAGTATACATTTTGGGAATAAGGCCGAATTCATCATGCAATTCCAAAGAATCTTTCATCTGTAACCAAAGTAAAATAAAATCATTAAGGCAACTGAAGAAATGTGAAAAAAATTAAAGAAGGAACCATTGGTATGACATTTTGTACAATTTGCTTTCACTAATAACTCTGAACAATTAAGGAGAGAATTATGAAGATCGTTGCAAGCCATTTTAATAATTTTCGTATGTGAAAGAGCACTTCTAAGTCTGAAAATTAGGTTGTAATAAAGACGTTCAATTCATAAACAGGAGGAATGATAGAATTAATCAAAGCAATCAGATCTGACAAGAGCAGGATAGTAGAGAAAAGCATTTATAAATCAAATAAAAAATGCGGAACATGAAATTGAAATCAAATGAGATCACAGCCTAGAACCAAGAGGTAAGAAAAAGGAAGTGTTGCTTGAGTGCAATAAAAAATACAGAGATCTAAAAAAAACTTTTTTCTTATTAATAGATTCAAGTTAGAAAAAAAATGGAAGAAAGTCAATTGAGAAGCAAATCCTAATTTAATTATTGCATTAGGGAATAGGAAACATAAAGTACATTAGAAGAGGAAGAGCTATGAATCACCAGCTAGCAAACGTAATAGCAAAAAATGGATGGCTCAAATAGACTCCAAAGTAATTGGTTAACATGATGCAAAATGGCAAAATAATAATAGACTCTATCAATGGAAAGACGTAGGGAACGAAAAATTTCCGGAAAATCGAGTAATTGCTTTGTTTAACGTTGGAAAAAAATAACACTGAAATGACGTAAGATGACGCAATGCAAAAGAACTGAAATGAATAAACATTTCTACAATAGACTTTCGTCTGAATCAAGACCAAAGTAATGGGCATATTTAAAAGCCCAAAAAGTATATCTAAAAAACAGCGAAAAATCATTTCAAAAAAAAGATTAAATCAGGATTCCAATTTGGTTCAGATCATGAAGAAGTGTTCAATTATCCTTCCCTCTACTAATCGTTTTTCCATTAGGTCAATCTGAATAAGAATGCTAATAACCTCTCTGATCTTGAATTTCCAAGCATCTTCGACGTGTGATGCTGCAGCCTGTTTAAAAATGGGAAGAGGGAAGGCTAAGTGAGAACCTTGCTTGGAGAAAGACGAAACGAGAGTATCAGCAGAAAAACAATTGAAGATACAACTTTAGCTGTGGGGAAAGG